ATACAATTAATTACGCTGTGTGACCGGCAGGGGTCGCTAGGGGGTCATCCGGGCTTTTCCTCCTCCGTAGATCTTCCTCGCTGCTTGCCGCTAATGCCGGCTGCATTCGGAGTTCGGCCAGCACCGGTATTTTGCTCCCCTGCGCAGCACCGCCGGTTCCTCCCATCTAAACGGGAGTACCCATTTATCTACTAGCAGATGGAATAGCTTTCGAATTGCTGAGTGAGCAAGGAGCTAGGACAAGGGACAGGAGCTCACCCTGTCCCGCAGAGCTGGGCTCGAACTGCTGGAGAGCCAATCATTTCTGACCGGCAACTCCCGCGTCAGTCTTTAATATCAGTTGCGTATTTCCCCTTACTTGCCCTGTTGATAGGCCAACTCAGTGGCTATGAGCCCTACTAGGTAGACCAGACCATGACATCAGTTCCACAGGTTGCCTACAAGTACTTTTATTGGCTGCAGTAACAGAAGTTTTGTGCTGTACAGTCATGTGAAAAAGAAAGTACACCCTCTTTGAGTTCTATCGTTTTACGTATCAGGATTTAATAAAAATCATCTGGTCTGTATCAGTTCTCAAAAGTAGGTAAATACAGCCTCAGATGAACAACAACATATGACATATTATACCATGTCATCATTTATTTTACAAAAAGAAAGCCAAAATGGAGAAGCCATGTGTGAAAAACTGAGTACACCCTTACTCCTTCCATAGGTATGAAGAGGCTAAGTAGCATCAAAAGTAGGTAAATACAGCCTCAGATGAACAACAACATATGACATATTATACCATGTCATCATTTATTTTACAAAAAGAAAGCCAAAATGGAGAAGCCATGTGTGAAAAACTGAGTACACCCTTACTCCTTCCATAGGTATGAAGAGGCTAAGTAGCAGCCAGGTCCTGCTAATCAAATGCCCTTGATCAATTGATCATCAGCAAGTGTGACTACCTCTATAACAGCCAAAGTTTTAGGAGTTTGCTGGTCTCGAGCATTGAGGTGTGTGTTAACACAATGCCCAAGAGTAAAGACCTCAGCAAGGATCCTAGAGAAGCAATTGCTGCTGCCCATCAATCTGGGAAGGGTTATAAGACCATTTCCAAACAATTTAAAGTCCATCATTCTACAGTGAGAAAGATTATTCACAAGTGGAAAATATTCAAAAAACCCTATTCCCAGGCAGCTTCCCTAAATTAGGGTTAGGGTTAGGGTTA